CTATTCTACTGGCTGGTAGAGTTTGTTCATGCCACTACGGGGGTGCAGGAGGCGGGGGAACCTCAATGTGCCGCCATAGCGTCGTCCATAGCATCACTTAGGACGCAACCATGTTGTGTTGCCAGTAACTTCTGTCTGAGGCTCTGAGCGTCAGTGTAGCTGCCACTGTCATGCTGAGCAGTTGCTGTGTCGATCGTCCTGCGCTACATGTGCTGTTTTAAAGGTGTGGTGTAGTTTGTTTATAATGGCAACAACAGGAAGAAATGTCAAGCACAAGTATTCGGAGGACTACAAATTCAGCTTCACTTGTCAAGAAAAAGAAGGCGTGGATTTGCCACAATGTATTTCAAAGTCTTGGGGAATGACTCAATGAAGCCGGCTAAGCTGAAACTACATCTCAAAAAATGTCATCCCAACTTGTTGCAAAAGGATGAATATTATTTTGAGCGGCGGTTATCAGGTCTGAAACGGCAGCACCTCGACTTAACAAGTGCATTCTACAATAAGACAAGCAATTCAGTGCACGCTTCCTACATTGTTGCATACAAAGTTGCACAGGCCAAGAAGCTTCATACCATTGTAGAGCAACTTATGCTCCCTGTGCAAAAGAGATGGTGTGGCTTGTTCTTGGCAAGGAAGAAGCAAGGAAGCTGAATGATATATCGGTCGCTAATGACACAGTATCGAGATGGATAAATGAGATATCACAGAACATCAGTGAACAAGTTGCAGATAAAAAAAGTCTCCATTGTTTGCCATACAATTGGATTAATCGACCGACGTCGCATTGTGCTCTCAGCTATTGATGTTTGCACGATACATGCTTGAGGGAGACTTCAAAGACGAATTTCTTTTTTGTAAGACTCTTGATACCACCATAAAGGCTCAGGATGTGATGGAAATTGTTAATTTCTTTGAAGTACGTGGTCTGGATTGGGTAAATCTTGTGGGAGTCACCACTGATGGTGCACCTGCTATGCTAGGCTTAAGATTGGGGTTCCAAACGCCGGTGAAACAGCACGCTCCAATGGTAACCGGAGTTCACTGCTTCATGCATAGGGAAGCTTTGGCGACAAAAACATTGCCTGATCAACTGAATGCTGTTTTCAAAGGCTTGGTGAAAGTGGTGAATCACATCAAATCATTGGCTCTGAACACCAGGCTGTTCAAAAGATTTTGCCTGGACATGGGTTCTGACTTTGATGTGTTGCTGTTCTACACTTCTGTATGGTGGCTGTCAGCAGGGAATGTACTCAACAGAGTTTTTCAATTGAGAGAGGAGTTGGATTGAAAGAGGAATTAAGATATTTTTGGAATCTTGAACTGAATCTTCAGCTGCAAGACAAAGGTGCAAATCTGTTCTCCCACCAAAGCATCATCAAGGCTTTTTTTGACAAATTGGAACTGTGGATGGTAAGAGTCGAAGACAATAATTTGGTTCAATTTCCATATGTGGATGCCATGCTTGGGGAAAATGAAACCATTCGGACGCAAATTCTCGATCTTTTACGGAAGCTACGAGACGAATTTCAACGATACTTTCCGGAGATGGACAGGACAAGGGATGGATTATCTTTCATCAGGAATCCATTTACAACAGATGTTAATAGTGTTCCAGAGAATCTGCAGGAAGAATTCTTGGACCTGAAAAATTATTTTTCTGGCTCAAGACGTGTACCAGCAGTCTACCATAGAGAAATTTTGGGCCAGCATGACCAGGAGTTACCCAAATCTGTCAGCCCACGCAATCAGATTTCTTTTGCCATTTGCATCAATTTATATGTGTGAGACTGAATTTCGTGTTTGTTGCACGTTAAGTCCAAACAGAGGAATCGGCTTGCAGTGGAAAGTAATATTTGTTGTGCATTATCAAGTAGCACTCCAAACATTGAAAAGCTTGTCTGTGAGAAGAGAATCCAAAAATCAAAAATCTGTTAGTAAGAAATAAATTTCAAACCAAAATGTTTGTTGTCTACTCTTTTTTATCATGTCTCAAAAAGGAGGTGGTCCACAAAAATTTTTATTGGCCTGGTGGTCTGTGGACTGAAATGAGTTGGTCAGTTTAACTTCTTTCAATCTTTTATGAGAACTCTTACTAAAAGCTTTTTGAAAATCCAAGTATATTTTTTCCTTGGGTCTCCAGTCCTTACTGTTTTATTAGAATCATAGAGCTGGAAGAGACCTCAGGAGGTCATCAAGTCCAGCCCCCTGCCCGGCAGGACCAATCCCAACTAAATCAACCCAGCCAGGGCTTTGTCAAGCTGAAACTTAAAAACCTATACGGATGGAGAGTCCACCACTTCCCTAGGTAACCCATTCCAGTACTTTACCACCTTCCTAGTGAAATTGTTTTTACTGATATCTAACCTAGACCTCCCCTACTATAAATTGAAACCATTGCTCCTTGTTCTGCCATCCGTCACTACTGAGAATAGCCTCTCTCCATCCTCTTTGGAACCTCCCTTCAGGAAGTTGAAGGCTGCTATCAAATTCCCCCTCACTCTTCTCTTCTGCAGACTAAACAAATCCAAATCCCTCAGCCTCTCCTCCTAGGTAATGTGCTCCAGGACCCTCATCATTTTGGTTGCCCTCCACTAGACCCTCTCCAATGCCTCCACATCCTTTCTATAGTAGGGGGTTCCAGAACTGGACACAATACTCCAGATGTGGCCTCACCAGAGTCAAATAAAGGGGAATAATCACTTCTCTAGATCTGCTGGCAATGCTCCTCCTAACCTAATATGCCATTAGCCTTCTTGGCTGCAAAGACATACTGTTGACTCATATCCAGCTTCTCATCCACTGTAATCCCCAGGTCCAATTTAGCCAGTCGGTTCCCAGCCTGTAACAATGCTTGGGATTCTTCCATCCCAAGTGCAGGCCTCTACACTTCTCCTTGTTGAACCTCCTCAGATTTCTTTTGGCCCAATCCTCTAATCTGTCCAGGTCACTCTGGACTCTATTCCTGCCCTCCATGGTATCTACCTCTTCCCCCAGCTTAGTGTCATCTGCGAACTTGCTGAGGGTGCAATCCATCCCTTCATCCAGCATATTAATAAAGATGCTGAACAAAACCGGTCCCAGAACAGATCCTCGGGGCACTCCGCTACAAACTGATCGCAGTCTGCAGCTTTTATCCACTTTACAGTCCATTTATCCAATCCATACTCCCTTAACTTGCTGGCAAGAATATGGTGGGCGACCGTACCAAAAGCTTTGCTAAAGTCAAGGTGTGTCACATCCACTGTCCTCCCCATTACTTTATTAACTGGAATCAGGAGCAGCCCTCGACTAGCTGCCAGCAACCGGCACCCTAGGCGCACCATGCAATCGGCGCCCCCACCTCCAAACTTCTCCATGATATTGCGCCACCATTTGGCGCCCCATTGAACCTGGCGCCCTAGGTGACCGCCTAGTTCGCCTCTATGGACCGGCCGCCCCTGCCGGGAATCGAGTCGGAGGGGAAGCATTTTGCCTTTGACAAGCAGGATTGGGGTGCTCGTATCAAGCAGGGCTTACCCAGGGGCGCGCTGTTGCACCCTTAGATTCAAAGCACCCAGCTAGGGATCACCAGCTTCACACTACGGCTCACCAGTGTCACTACTGCTCACCAGCTTCACACTACGGCTCACCAGTGTCACTACTGCTCACCAGCTTCACACTACGGCTCACCAGTGTCACTACTGCTCACCAGCTTCACACTACGGCTCACCAGTGTCACTACTGCTCACCAGCTTCACACTACGGCTCACCAGTGTCACTACTGCTCACCAGCTTCACACTACGGCTCACCAGTGTCACCACTGCTCACCAGCTTCACACTACGGCTCACCAGTGTCACCACTGCTCACCAGCTTCACACTACGGCTCACCAGTGTCACCACTGCTCACCAGCTTCACACTACGGCTCACCAGTGTCACCACTGCTCACCAGCTTCACACTACGGCTCACCAGTGTCACCACTGCTCACCAGCTTCACACTACGGCTCACCAGTGTCACCACTGCTCACCAGCTTCACACTACGGCTCACCAGTGTCACCACTGCTCACCAGCTTCACACTACGGCTCACCAGTGTCACCACTGCTCACCAGCTTCACACTACGGCTCACCAGTGTCACCACTGCTCACCAGCTTCACACTACGGCTCACCAGTGTCACCACTGCTCACCAGCTTCACACTACGGCTCACCAGTGTCACCACTGCTCACCAGCTTCACACTACGGCTCACCAGTGTCACCACTGCTCACCAGCTTCACACTACGGCTCACCAGTGTCACCACTGCTCACCAGCTTCACACTACGGCTCACCAGTGTCACCACTGCTCACCAGCTTCACACTACGGCTCACCAGTGTCACCACTGCTCACCAGCTTCACACTACGGCTCACCAGTGTCACCACTGCTCACCAGCTTCACACTACGGCTCACCAGTGTCACCACTGCTCACCAGCTTCACACTACGGCTCACCAGTGTCACCACTGCTCACCAGCTTCACACTACGGCTCACCAGTGTCACCACTGCTCACCAGCTTCACACTACGGCTCACCAGTGTCACCACTGCTCACCAGCTTCACACTACGGCTCACCAGTGTCACCACTGCTCACCAGCTTCACACTACGGCTCACCAGTGTCACCACTGCTCACCAGCTTCACACTACGGCTCACCAGTGTCACCACTGCTCACCAGCTTCACACTACGGCTCACCAGTGTCACCACTGCTCACCAGCTTCACACTACGGCTCACCAGTGTCACCACTGCTCACCAGCTTCACACTACGGCTCACCAGTGTCACCACTGCTCACCAGCTTCACACTACGGCTCACCAGTGTCACCACTGCTCACCAGCTTCACACTACGGCTCACCAGTGTCACCACTGCTCACCAGCTTCACACTACGGCTCACCAGTGTCACCACTGCTCACCAGCTTCACACTACGGCTCACCAGTGTCACCACTGCTCACCAGCTTCACACTACGGCTCACCACTTTGCTGAGGGCTCTGCCCTGGGGGGGCTGCAGGGTGCCCCCCCCCGCAGCTTGGGGGCAGGGCCCCTCTCTTCCCAGCCAGGGGCGGCCGGTCCATAGAGGCGAACTAGGCGGTCGCCTGGGGTGCCAAGTTCATTGGGGCGCAGTGTCATGGGGGGGTTGGGAGTGGGGGTGCCGGTTGCATGGTGCGCCTAGGGCGCCAGTTGCTGGCAGCTAGTCTAGGGCCGCCCCTGTTCCTAGCATTGTCTCATTGCCTAGGCGTGGATCCGCACCCTGCCCGGTGGGGCGCTGCCTCTCCCCTGCAGCAGCAGCCCCCCTTTCCCCGTGTGGCGACAGCCTGCGACCCCAAACAGCGCTGCGGCGACACGGGGTCATTGGTCTCCCTCGAGCTCATGCTGGGTAACTGCGGTGTGGGGGTAAGGCTGCTTTTCATTTGTTCCCCATTGAACCTTAGCAACAAGCCGTTTCTCTTCACCTCTTCAGGGAATAAAAATCGGAAGGAATGTTATAAAAAACAGGACGGTGTAGCACTTTAAAGACTACTTTCGTCTTTAAAGTATCAGAGGGGTCGCCGTGTTAGTCTGAATCTGCAAAAGCGGCGAGGAGTCCTGTGGCACCTTATAGACTAACTGAAGTGTAGGAGCATAAGCTTTCGTGGGCAAAGACCCACTTTGTCAGATGCAAGTCTTAGTCTTTAAAGTGCTACATAGTCCTGTTTTTTTATTTCAGCTAGACTAGACTAATACGGCTACATCTCTATTACTATTGAACAAATGTTATGGTTGTGCAAAGTCTGTTTATATGGACTGAGATACCCAAGCCCTCGGCAGACTACTCATTTGGGTTGTTTCCTATTGTTAGAGAAAGAAATGCCAGGAAAATTCACCGCACTAGCCAATATCATCAGGAATCTCCCAGCAACAGGAAATACACCCCTTCTCTTTCTTCAGAGTTTATATGGTTCTCATGATCCCTTGCAAAATATGGCTCTGATTCTCTGAACAGCCACATAGGTAGACTCCTGTTACGTCAAAAGGGGCTTCATGTGTGCTGTTTGCAGCACTGGGACCTTATGATGGCATGTGATTTACCTTTGCAGCTTCAGTACATGTGTGAGACAGTTTTTTCACAACGATTTCAAAAATTACTGCATCAAATCCTACAAAAGTATCTTTTTGGCACCACCCCCACCTGACTCAGTTTGTAAATAATAATTGTTCTTCAGGCATGTGCAGTGTTGATTGGTGCTAACAACGGGATGATTTAACATAGGAGTTACAAAAGTCAGATTTGAAATGTCACTTAAATACAAATTAAATTCTTCATCCTCAGAGTAGAATACAGTACTGTTTCAATTATCTGAAAATTCCAGTTATTGATAACAGGTTTACATCCCCCAGCATTCATTAGTTGAGTCTCTAAAGTCCTTATTGTCCAGGTACACCTACTATCCCACATTAAATTTAGATAAATGAGTTGTATTATAATTTGTAATTGCTTTAGAATTGAGGCCTGAGCATCACAGAACAAACAATCTCAAATTTTTTCTGCTATGAACATGTGCCATCTACAAATTTGTCTTCCTCTGTTACAGTGCTACCTAAAACTGCAAGGAAAATTGGCTATGGTTTCAGGTAATTTGTATTACATCCACTGAAAGTTATGATTTTCTCTGTACATTGGTAGTCACTGTCTAAAGGTATCATTTTTCAAGCTGTAAACCTTAGAAAGATCTTGTTGAGTTTTTAAAATTAAGCAAAATCCAATCAGTTGCTTGGTGTTATTAAGATGAGCAGGGCTCATTTTTCAGTAGAAAATGTAAGTTTACTATCTGATAGGTTCTTACACCAGCATCACTGAAGAATTCCAGCAGTAGTGTGTGTGGAACAGTGATACAACACTATCAGCCCACCCCACTCTAATTTCCTATCATACATATCTGATTTAGGGTATATCTACAATGCAAGTGAAGTTATAATTCATATAAACAGAGGGATGCTTGATCAACAAGTCAATATATTTTTATTTTTAAGATGACATGTCCCTCCTATCATTACCTGTTAGTACATAACACAAATTGCGTTTCAGAATTAAGTTGCATCGTGTGTGTGTCCCTCCTGTAAGGACAACATGCTGATCTAGTATGCCCATTCAGATCCTGGGTCTATTGACTGACTCATTTGGCACAGAGACGAAAACTGGTCTCCTGCGCTAGAGCCTGACATGATTTACTTACCTAGGTCACTCTTTTCCTCTGGTACCATAGAGTCACTTCCACGCAACATCTGGAGAGACAGCTGTCGCCCTCCCTGAAGTGTGGTGTGGGCAACTGTAGCTTGGTGGTGTTATATAAGAAAACTGAGCCAAGTGGCTATTTATTAATTTTGACCTACAGTAGGACATGCTGATCAGACACTGTACCAGAGGTTTTTATTTATTTATTTTAATGTCACCTGATAATAGGGTTTCACAGTCAGATGGAAATAAGCAAATAAACAGTAAAGGGGAGAGAGGCAGACTTCTTTTCTTTCACCTGTTCGGCTGCTGCAGCAGTTTGAAAAATATCAAGAGTACCAGTTGCGAGGACAAGCAGGCTGCTGTTCAGAAAGGGAAAAAACCTGTAGCGGGGCTCTGAAATTCATTGTTGTCTGTCCGTCTGTTTGTTCAGGAGCTCCTCCTAAATGGCAAGAGCGAGGACCACCAAATTTGGTAGGCAGCTTCCACTTATCATATCTTAAAGCAAGGCAAAGGTTTGGTTGTGAATCCTGCACCCCCCCACACACACACCTTGAGCCCTCTGCCCCAGCATTTCCTCACCCCAACTCTGACTCCAGCATCCCACACACAAGCAGAGCCCCCTGCCGTGAGCCTCCCACCTATCCGCCCTGACTCCCTCACTCCCAGGTTCCTGCCCTGAAGGACCCGAGCAACACAGAGTAAATCTAGTGGAACTAATAACACGAATGACACTAAGTAGAAAACTGATAAACTTTGAAATATATACAGGTTGCAATCAAAGGATCAGTTCTGGACACTGGACAATCCCACTCCAGCCACACAGCTGTAAGAAAGAGGTGGAGAGAAGTTTGATCCACCCCAGCCTGCTCCTTATATCCTTGATGCAGAGCAGGAGGAGGGGAGGAGCACAGACATGGACCATTAAATTGGAGCACATGATTACCCACAGTGGCATACACATAAGGACGAGCACCTGAAGAACCCTGAGATCCACAACTTCTGATCTTTGGGACAGTCCCATGAAAGGGGTCCTGACCTGGCACTGAAATTGAGTGCAGATCAATTTCACCTTTTAGAATGATCACTTTTTCATTATTTTTAAAATTAATGTAGTGCTCCTTGAAAATGCTATGCTGCTGTTCTGGAGACTGGTGACTTCTATATACAGAATAGATAATACGCTTACCCAAACTGCCCTGCCACTGTACATCAACCTTGATAAGGGGCAACCTCAAATGAGAGGTAACCTTCACCAGGATTATAAAGTTCCTGTCTTCTTTGAGCCAGTCCTTGGCTTCTTTCTCTGAGTGTTTAGTCACTGGCAACAACTGTAGTGTTGGTCTCACCATGACATGAACACCTGTCCACCAGGAACTAAACTGAGGCCTCTACACTCATTTCACTTAGGTCATCAAATAGACATTAGATCACGAGTATCCAATTTATCTGGAGAAGGCCTGATTCCATTATGGATATCTTGGGCCAGGATAAAAATTTAGAACTTCATCCTCTCCTCAATCAGTAGTAAGATCCCAGCCTGATCTCAGTCGGGGGCTTGTAAAAAGATCAAGGGCAGAATGCAGCTTTCATGTAGTAATTAAACCGATTTATTATGTATTCAGTACATTATTGTCATATTCAGTATGACTCCATGAGAAAATCCTTGAGACCCAATGAGATACCTCTAAATTAGGGGGCTCTTTCTGTCACTACTGAGTTCTGAATTTGAATCAGTGAAATATTATTGCTTTTACTATTCTAAGATCATTATTATCTCTCTTACTCCACAAATGTATTCCTTGTACCTGAGACACAGCTTGTTCATATTCAATTTACATTCCTACTTGGTTTTATAAGACTCTTTAAGATGTTAGATAGTCAAATCATTAGCGAAGCTCACTCACTTAATCCTTTTTCAGTGTATTATGCCTCATGTTATTGTTCTTGGATTTCAGTGTAAATCCAGATAAAAATGGTAATTGTCTTCAAATATTCCTAGCACCATGCATAAACCTAGATTGATCTTCTTAGTTCAGTAATAACAGAGCAGGGAAATACACAGTAAATAGCACACTGATTTAATCCATAAATCTGTCACCGCTGGCGATCTTGAGTCAAATTCTGTTTTAGCATCTAGTGAAAAGTGTTTGGGAATCTTATTGTTGTCCCTACAACATTGATTCTCATAGCAAATTGCTACACAATTGCTGGTCTGTGCTCAGAGAGAGGATGAGGACTGGAATATCAGGAATTTTGCAAGTTAGTACTGAAAGGCAATTGTCAGAATTGTAGGAGGAAGTCTACATTTAGTCTCTACATATTATGTGCAGCATTTCAGTAATTCTAATAAGCACTGGCAAAACACTGCATTTACATACTGTAATGTGTCACATATTCAGATCCTGCTATAGATGTTAACTCAATAAGCACCTTTAAATAGAGTTTGAGTAGTGATACAATTAAAAATATAATTTGGAAAATGTGATTCAGATCCTTCAATCCATATTCAGGCATATCTCTAATAGAAGCAAAGGAAAATGTACCTGGTTAAAAACTAGGATTTGCCCATTATAAGACTAATATAAGGGTTTGTTTTTTTAAACTGGAATCAATCTCTACGCTGTTTTCTCAAAGCAATCTAGTTTAATTTAATAAAGACAGCTAAACAGAGCAGGGCTTCTGAATAGTGAGTATGTTATGACACTAGTAACTTTGGACTGGTTTAGGATATCCTGATTCATGTTGAAAAATTCCTTATTCCACAAGTAAGCGTGTTGAAGTCATGAGTAAGGTGCTACCCAACATTAGTAAAACTAGTACCTGAAGCTAACTAATTACTACTAATTTTTACTTCTTTCAGATAAAACTTCACATCAAAATTTAAATGTGTTCCTTCAGCTATTGATTTTATTTTTCTACCAATAGGCAGTGGAAACCTTAAAAATGGAGAACAAAGATAAACACTGGGTGGAGAAGTTATTTTCTCCTCATTTTAGTGTACAAGATTTTTTTGGTCACTCTGATCGGCCTGCATCTCTGATGTTTGAAAAATTGGCTTTAGAGAGAGCAAAGAGAGTGGAAGAAATTTACAATATGGCAATTAAAAAAATTCAAGAAGAAAAAAGGCTCAAAAGGAAAGAATGTCTCTCTGAACTCATTGTCCGAGAATATGAACCAAACATAGTAGATGCAAAGATAAATATTTCAAAGAAGGAAACAGAAGGGGATTCTACCTCCTGTGGAGCTGGTAATTTAGATGTTGGGGCTGAAGAAAGCTTAAAGAAAACAGAGGGTCATTGTATCTGGAATGCAAAAGAATTAGCAGATTTGCGACAAGAAATGCACAAGAACCATGTGGAAGGAGTTTCTCTAAAACTTCAGCTGTCTTCCTTGAATGCAGAGTTAGTGGAACTGAAAGCTAAATACAAAAAAATACAAGTGGACTTCGAAAATGCTGAACAAGAACTTCTAAATTCCAAAAAAGAAATTCGCTGCAAAAATACCCAGTTACAGCTAATTCAAAGGGATAGCTTAAAAAAAGATGTTGAGCTTCAAGCCTTAAAACAACATTTACATGAAAAATCAGCAAACATAAGAAGCTTAAATGAAGAGCTGCTTCAGGCAAGAAAAGAAATTCAGAGTTTGGATCTAAAGAACAAGGATTTACAACAAGAAGTTAAGAAGTTAAAACAGCAACATGATCTTGGAAATAAGGCCTCCATAGAAAAGGTGAAACTGCATTATGATTTAAAAATAAGAAACGTACAAAAAGAACTAGAGGCTGTTAAAAGTGAGCTGAGTGATGAAAAGCTTTTGCATGCTAAGAATGTTAAGGCTTTGGAAATACTCAGAAAACATTTTTCAGCCCAACCTTTATCTAATCCATTTGACAATCTGAGAGTAGATTTTCTTTAAAATAAAATTTAAAAATAGAGTGAGAATCCTTACCAGTTGCAGTCAAAAAGCCCTAGCAAGTATATTTGCAGTTTTACTCGACCTTCTATTTTTCAAAAGCTTCTTGGTTTAATGTTGAACTTTGATTTTTAAGTTTTAAGGCAGTCAAGCGTGACAGTAAAACAATATTTGTTTTAAAGTAGCTTTGTTCAGAGTTTTGTTTGAGTGAAATTGTACCTTGATTCTTTGACAAGAGCATCCTTGTGAATCTTCATGCCACTGACATCCCATTATACCCGTCTTGGAATAACATGCATCTCCTTTCCCCTGGAGAACTGCTTTGTAGAGAGGAAACACTAGTTTGTATTGAGATAAATCATGGCTTTGATACTTAATTTGAATGCAGGGTTGTGTGTCCCTCTGTCTTTAGATGCATGAATTAACAAATGCTGAATGCACCAATTCTAACATGTTCCAGTCATCTTAAATGCTTAGAGAAGTAGCTTAATGTACTAGCAATGACTTGTAGGTCTGATTTTCTTTCTATTTGGTCTGCCTATGATAGTTCATGTCCTTAACGGATATCTATTGCCATAGAACCAATCCTAAACAATACCACATGCAGGACCTTTGGTTACCCAGCAGAGTGTACTGTCTACACAGCTCTGAAGCATAATTCCATTAGCACCTTTAAACTCTGCTATACCTAGTGTTTACTTTCTTTCAATTTGCAAAAAATGCTGCTGTTACTATGCCATTTGGTTTGCAGTTTATATTGTTGCTCATAACTGTGGTAGCAAAGTTTTTCCTTTTTAAAATCTTTTGGAAATTGATGTTAAAATTACGCATTGAGTTTTGGAGAAGGTTGTAAATCTATACCTTAATTTGAAACAAAATTACTACTAAATATTTCATTATTAAATAGTGCACCTGCACATGAGAGGAGCTAGTGATTTTTTCTGTAAACAATCTGTGTGTTCTAACCCCGGATAGTATGTATGTGGATTATTTAAGAAAGTATTTTGATTACTGATGTGTATGATATACACAATCACTTCAAATTCTCATTTTAATTTTGGCTCAAAAGGGTTCCCCTCAAAAGCTGAAAAAACTAAATTTTGAAAACTATCCTGAGAGCAGAAGTGTAGAAATCTAGAATGATGTTGGATAATTCCTGTAGTTTCTTTCCTCTTCAGTATAACATTTGTTACTTTTAATTGAGTAAATAAATGAATCATGCATTCTATTCACTGCAAATGATGAAATTACTATTAAATAATTGTTGCCTTATGTGTTTTTAAAATATGTCAAATATGGGGTGCTGTTACATTTAAAAATTAATTTACTATAGCATTTTACCTGCTTTGCCATGAATGTCCATAAATCAAACACCTAAATATATTTACTCTCCTTGCAAAGTGTCATGATTTTTCTGGTCATAAATGTAACTTATGTCAATCAAGCAAGTGGTATGTAATTTTAACTGAGCTAATTTAAACCTTCAACCAAGCCGTAAGTGTTATTTGTTTACATATTATTACACCCAAAAAGTTAAGACGCTAACATTTTGTTTTTCAAGTGTATCTGCAACTCAAAATATTCAGTTAGAATGGAAAATAATAATATACACTATAAGAAAGCGTGAAGTACTTTATACTGTGCATCTTTAACACTTATAGGTTTGTTTCCTAGTTGGGAATGAGATTGTTTACAGCAGCATTCTTGCCATTTTCTGTTTGAGGTGGAGGCAGACCTTGGTTCAGGAGACAAATGTCTTCCCACATCAACTAATTACATTCCTTTTCATTCTGTACTCTCTCATTATGAGACCTCAGTCCTTATTACATTCCTTTTCATTCTGTACTCTCCCATTATGAGACCTCCGTCCTTCTCTCTATGGAAGTTCTCACCAGTGGTAATCTGGTGGATTCTGTTAAAGGCTGTGTTCTACTGACCTTCCTTCAGAGGGAAGAATTCAGAAGCTGATGGATAGCAAGACTTGTTGTCTGCTGCAGAGATAAGCACTAAAACTAAGTTCTGATTACTTGATTCATATTAATCAAGAACCTAAGGCACTAGGTTGAGAAGCAACTCTATCTTCCCTACCCTCCAGGCCCAGACTATATGAGGAGATGAGTGGTTTTAAAAGCTATTGGGATTCTATTCAGTGATACTTATTTATATGAAGGATACATTTTAAAACAGCCCACTTCAAAAGTCTTGGTCAGATTTTGTCTGTTCCTCAGATTTAAAAGTAAGTATATTTTCCCTGAGGAATTTCATGGAAATTAAATCTCTACTGGAGAAATCCATTCAACTCCTAAAGTTTCAGCACAGTTTTGTACCTGCATGAATGGCCTACTCAATAGTGTACTGGGGTGTGTGTGTGTGAAGAAAACTACCTTATACTATGGAACGTTTATGCTAATTGAATTAAATAGTTAAAAGAAGAACTAATTAAATACATCCAATTGTAAAAATATAGAACCAGCTTGTAATGGCCATCCTGCTCTTGGGAAATAAAGGTTACACCCAGCCTCAGCAAGGGCTGAGACTGTGAGCCAGTCGGAAAAGAATCCTAGAACACTAGAACTGGAAGGGACCTCGAGAGGTCATCGAGTCCAGTACCCTGCCCTCATGGCAGGACCCAGCACCGTCTAGACCATCTCTGCTAGATGTCTATCCAACCTGTGCTTGAATATCGCCAGAGATGGAGATTCCACAATCTCCCTACGCAATGTATTCCAGTGTTTAACCATCCTGACAGGAAGTTTTTCCTTATGTCCAACCTAAACCTCCCTTGCTGCAGTTAAAGCCCATTGCTTCTTGTTCTATCCTCAGAGGCCAAGGAGAACAATTTTTCTCCCTCCTCCTTGTAACACCCTTTTAGATACTTGAAAACTGCTATCATATCCCCTCTCAGTTTTCTCTTTTCTAAAATAAACAAGGCCAGTTCTTTCACTCTTCTTTCATAGCTCTTGTTTTCTAGACCTTTCATCATTTTTGTTGCTCTTCTCTGGACCTTGTCCAATTTCTCCACATCTTTCTTGAAATGTGGTGCCCAAAACTGGACACAGTACTGTACTCCAACTGAGGCCTAATCAGCGCAGAGTAGAGCAGAAGAATGACTGTCTTGCTCTCAAAATTCCTGCTAATGCCGCCCAGAATCATGTTTGCTTATTTTGCAAGAGTTTCACACTGTTGGCTCATATTTAGCTTATGAGCTATGAACCCTAGATCCCTTTCTACAGTACTTCTTCCTAGACAGTTGCTTCCCATTCTGTGTGTGTGAAACGGATTGTTCCTTCCTTAGTGGAGTACTTTGCATTTGTCCTTATTAAACTTCATCCTGTTTACCTCAGACCATTTCTCTTACCTCAGAGATCATTTTGAATTATGACCCTATCTTCCAAAGCACTTGCAACCCCTCCCAGCTTGGTATAATCTGTAAACTTAATAATTGTACTCTCTATGCCATCATCTAAGTCATTGATGAAGATATTTAACAGAACCGGTACCAAAATAGACCCCTGCGGAACTCCACTTGTTACTCCTTTCCAGCAGGATTATGAACCATCAATAACTACTCTCTGCGAATGGTTATCCAGGCAGTTATGCACTCACCTTATAGTAGCCCCATCCAGGTTGTATTTCTCTAGTTTATTGATAAGGTCATGTGAGACCGTATCAAATGCCTTTCTAAAATCTAGGTATACCCTGTCCACCGCTTCTCCCTTATCCACAAGGCTTGACATAGCCTATCAAAGAAAGCTATCAGATTGGTTTGACATGATTTGCTCTTTACAAAGTCATGTTGGCTGTTACTTATCACCTTATTTTCTTCCAGGTGTTTGCAGATGAATTCCTTAATTACTTGCTCCATTAGCTACGCTGGCACAGAAGTTAAACTACAGACAGCCAATCAGAGCCTGGCAAGATGCTATAAGGGCTCCTGGAGAGCAGGTGCACACATAATCTTGTTCCACCTGTGGAACAGGAGGACCTGGCTTTTTTGGGTAGGCTAGGGAGGGTACCTGAGACAGAGCAGTGCTGGGGAAAGCAGGCAGTGCTGGGGATCTCTGGTCTGACTCAAATGCCAGGCTACAGCCTGATACAGAAGCCTAAGTGTACTAGGGCTGCAGGGAGGCAGTCAGGGCAGGAAAATGCAACAGGTTCAAACAATCCTTGCTAATGCTTAGTGGCCATTTCAGATGGCAGTTTGCCCTGAGGCAGAGGCTAGATGCATCTGGCAGTGGATCATTGAGGTAAGGTGGTTATGGGGGGATGTTGGAGTTCCCCGGGAGGGGGAGGATAAAGGGAATATCCCAGAGTGTGGAAGAGGCGCCATGGGCTGGGAGGGACACGGGTCCTAAAGCAGCTTAAAAGAAGAACTGAAGGAGAAACACTGGCCAACAGGGGGCCCTTGAGAGCTGGAAGAGTAATACCCAGATAGACCAATAGGAGGTGCCCATAATGGTGAGTGCTCGAATTGTTTCTTAGCCCATCATATGAAGGCTACGTCTTTGTCAGTGGTTTTCCCAAATTTCCAAAGCAGGCTTGGAAGACCCCTACTGTCCAGCAGATTAAAGAGAATAAAAAAGGTGGTCCAGTGACAATTAATCATGTAGACTCAAATATTCTGCCTGACAGCTGATCTGGATAGTCAAGTTTAGAGATGGGTTGATGTCTAGGAAGTGGGAGGGAGATTACAGAGTGGATTTGTTCCATGGGCCTTTGTACTCTGTCCCAGAGTGCTCCATGCAGCACTTTGGGAAGAATATGTGAATGTGTTTTGTGAGGTACAGTCAGGATCCCAATTTGCATGCATGGTTTTAAGGACTTGGGGGCGGGGATGGACAGATTTAATGTTTAGTCCCAGATCAGAGGTAGCTAGTATTATACTGTGTGCAGGATTTTTAAGTGCAAGTTTTAGGACCTTCCAGTAAGCTCGTCATTGAGGGAGGAGCATGGAGCTCACATATAATCCAACGTAATGAAAAAAAAGTAAGTAGACCAACTTGTAGCACTTCGCTGTTTTGTTTCCACATGTTTTGTTCACGGACTGGGTATCTTAGGAAACCAATCTTGATAAAGTAGGCAGGATGACCACATATTTAACATAACAAGTTGCAGTATTGCTTTCCCTATATTTGAGGAAAGCAGAGTGTGATGGAGTATCAGCCCTATCCTGCCTACTAAGGGGTTAATAGAGCCCTTAGGAGACCATGTGAAATGCCAATAGGAGAGGATTTCAGAGGAATGGCCAGTCAGGGCCCAGATGGCTCATATAAAAAGAGTGAGGAGGGAAGATTGTATCTGGAGTAAGCAGCTACCTTGTACAGGCAGTAACCCAGGGTATGTCTACACTACCACCCTAGTTCGAACTAGGGTGGTAATGTAGGCAACCGGAGTTGCAAATGAAGCCCGGGATTTGAATTTCCCGGGCTTCATTTGCATAAAGCCGGGCGCCGCCATTTTTAAATGTCCGCTAGTGC